AAAAAAAAAAAAAAAAAGGGTAAGCTGTAAGCTTCTTTATGTTTCACTTTCCTTAGCTGTAAAATGGGTATAATAATATAATAATGGGACTGGTGGGATTAAAGGATACAATAGGTGCAAATCTCTTTGTACAATGGGTAGCGCTCAGTAAGCAGTGAAAAAGGGTGCCCTGACCTAATTATACATGTAAAGAAGTGCCCTAATTCATTTGACTCTACTATTATATCAACCTCTTGTGTGGAAGGCAGAGAGGATTTTTATTTTACACATGAATTGGATTGGTTTAATTTATTTCTAAATTAAATAAACCCACATGAACTGGGTTGCTGGAGAAAAAACATACTGGCTCTTCCTGTCACACGAGATTGCTGGGCTTCCCTCCCAGCTGGGTCTTTAACAATTCCTAGTGCACAGCACTTTGTTTTGCAGTCTAGGCTCATCTCTAATTACCGACATCTTCCTCCTTTCACATTCTTCTTATCATCACCTTTCGTTTTCAGCACATGACCTCATTTCCCACCTTCTAGTGAATAAAGACCACAAGGCTGGAAGTACCTATATTTTCCTGTTTCCTTACTCTTCCTTTGCTGTTTCTGCCCCCGTCTCATCTCAGCAGTAATAAGAAAGTGCTCTCCCTTCTTGCTATGATGGATTCTCCCACCCGTGCTTCCCATCCCATCTTTCTTCCATCTCCCCGGGAACATTGCTGCTCCATCCGTTAACCCTCCTTTTCTCCTGTAGCTTTTTTTTTTTTGCGGTACGCGGGCCTCTCGCTGTTGTGGCCTCTCCCGTTGCGGAGCACAGGCTCCGGACGCGCAGGCTCAGCAGCCATAGCTCACTGGCCCAGCAGCCATAGCTCACTGGCTCAGCCACTCCGCGGCATGTGGGATCTTCCAGGACCAGGGCACGAACCCGTGTCCCCTACATCGGCAGGCGGACTCTCAAACCACTGCACCACCAGGGAAGCCCTCTCCTGTAGCTTTCTTGTTGTTTCTGTTTTTCTCTCTTGGGGTATAATCATACTGAAATCTCTCATCTTAAAAACAAAGTGTCTCTGTTCTGGTTTGCTTTCAACTCCTCCCTCCCAAGCATCACAGCTCAGCTTCTTGAAAGCCTTTTCCACCACATTGGGTTCCTACATGCCAGTATGTAGACTGACTCCTTATCAATCACCTGAACCAAAAAAAAAAAAAAAATCTCTGTTTTAAACGAAGTTCCCCAGGTGATGCTGAGCTCAGCTAGCTTAGAAACTTAGCTTCTTTGGGTCCTCACCTTCCCTTGTTTCTTGGTGGGCTGAGTTTGACTTCTGTCTCTAGTAATTCATTGGTATTTATCTAGCCAAGAATCACTAATGAGCTCTTAGTTGAAAAACCCAGTGGAGACTCTTCAGTTCCTAACTTACGTAAACTGTTTGCAATATTGTAACTATTTAAATAGTATTTTGTCCTTCAAATTCTACCCCTCTGGATTTCGTCCGGATCCTTTTCCTCTGCTTGTTTTTCTGCTATTGATGTTCTATCCAGGTCCCATCCATTCATCTTCTCTCATTTCCGTGTGCCTGTGCCACCATATTCTTAGGTGAAAGCCCCTGCATTTCCACATCTGTGGATTTTGCTTGGGCTGATGATTTCTGAAATCCACATCTCCAGACCATATTCTTGAATCCCAGAACCATATATTGTACTGTATGCTTGATAATTCTTTCTAGATGTGCCACGGTGTATCTCAAATCCAGTAGGTTCGAAACTGACCTCCTATTCATTCTGATGCTCTTAAATGATAGTCACCAGTAATCTTCCCCCCTTTTTTGACTCACTCTGTATTAATGTAGCCTACCTCCTACTGTTTCTTTTTACTCTCCTCTTATTCCTGTCCCCCACAGTTTTCTAGAATTTGTCCTTTCTTTTCTGTCCCTGTTGTCTTAGTTTGGGACTCATAATTTACGGCCTGGATTACCATGAGAACCACATGATTGGTTTTTATATTTGTGGTCCTTTCTGCGCTTATCCTTAGTGTCGCTTTCAGGGTGAGCTGCTTACTATCCTGCTTAAAATAACATAATGGCTCATCATTGCCTTTAAGGAAGTCCAAACTCCTTTACTTGGCATATGAATTTCTTTATAATTGCCTCTTCCTACTTTCTCAACCTTGTCCTCCACGCATCTCACTACATACCCCTTTGAATTTATCCACAAGCTTCTTGGGGTTTCCTGAACTGGCATATTCTCTTGTGCCTTTCTGTATTGAAAATACTGTATGTTATAGGAATGCCCTTTTCCTCTTCAGGGCCACTACTATCCCATCATTGCCTTTGTGCAAATTAGAAACAGATTCTTCATCCAGGCAGTCTGTTCTGTGGGTGCTCAGATTGGTGACAGATGGTACTTTTGCGAGAAGTAGAAAAAGACACCTCTGCTGTGCTGAAACACCCCATGCTGGGATGCAAGCCTTGGTAAGCTGAATGCCGCCTCTATTTCAGCCTTTTTAACCTCTCTGCTAGGCCTCTGGGCAGTAAGAAACCATACAGTGGAGTGCAGTAGTAGCCTTGCTCCTATCACCTCCTTTTCCTCCTGGAAAGTTCTTGCTTAAGATCAGTCTCTGTCTAGAATTTCTACCTCTCATTAGACCCATGGTTCTTATCCTTTTATTTGGTCATCAGCCCCTAGGGAAATCTGAAGAAAGCTGTGGACTCACGCTCCATAAAAATGAGCATACTCCTATTAGACAGCTTATTCATGAACCCGAGGTTAGAAGCCATATTCCAAATGTTATTCAAATTTTGGCTAACCTTAACCCTAACCCTAACCCAGGATGGGGTCTGCCCACATAGAAGGCACTGAATGAATGTCTGTGGAACTGTTGAAAGCATTTCCCAGTTGCCCACTTCTGTGCTTTTTCTTTGTATTCATATTACATACTTGCAAACCTCTATTCCCTAATATATTTTACACACTGCCATCATGGCTTTCTTGTCTGTGTTCCCAGCTAGCTTCTGAAATTTTCCAGAGTAGGCACTGCTCTGCTTTTATTCCCAGCATCTAACAGAACATAGTACTGAGCATATAATAGGCATTTGATAAATGTTTGTCGAATACACGAGATTCATTGATATTACATGATTTGTTTAAGGTCACTCAGTGATGGTGGACCTAGAACTCATTCCATATTTTTTCTTCTGGACCTCATGTTCTTAGATCTTTTATATTATGTATTTGTATATGTATAAGTATGGTTGGGTGATTCCTTAACTCACTGTTAAATGGAAAGAAATAAGTAGTCTGACTAAATCTAAGTGTTTGGATTAGTGTACTAAAACAGCTACCACAGTGGTAGGTATTGAATACTTAAATACTCCAGTATTTTGCAAAATACTTCTCCATCAACTCTTGAGGGATAAACAGACCTTTGTTGGAGAGAATTTAGCTACTGAGTAACTGTTTTTGTAAGTTGAGTCCAATGATAATCTATTAGTGAAGAGATGAAAATCCATGTTCCAATTTCTGACCTTGCTAAAGGAACCCAGCCCTGGTCTCTAAATTCTTGTGTGATTTTCTCACTGTTCTCTAAGTAGCATTCCTAATCCTGGTTTAATCAATACCTACTGCTTGCTTGCTTGCTGTCTTTTACCTCCCGGCCCCCTTTTCTTCCCCCAGAGATGTGGGGAACTCATCACAATTGACTACTTTTGGTCTCATGAGTCAGGATTTTTTTCTAGATTGAGATCATGTTTATTCAGTTGTACAACTTTCTGTTAGTTTGCTTCTTAGAACTGTGATTCATTAATAATCCAATTGCCTTGTATTACAACTGAATTACAATTGAATTGTATTACAATTCTCTTGGATTGTAGTAAATTTCCTTTATGTTTTTTCTGAAACTGAAATCATCCATTTTACCTTTCAAAATGGGATGAGTAAATAGTTCTGTGTGAATGGAGACTTTCATGGAAATGAACAATATGAACAGTTATTTCCTCTCTTTGGAAGATGTAGCTAAACTTACGTTAGAGTTTGGAAGTGATGATTTCTACTATTCTCTTTTCACAGGTCTTCCTAAGGGTCAAGTCCATTTTTTTTTTTTTTTTTTAAAGCAAATCCAGCTGCTTGACTTCTCCCTTGGATTCAATTAAACCTTCAAGTCTCTCCTGTGTTGTAGAACTTTTTTCAACTCCCCATTAAATTTGTTGTCTAGGAAGTCTACTTGTTTTTCATACGCAAATTAAAAAAAATGAAAGTTGTAATCATAGTAAAAAAACACAAGTGTTTCTGGGTTATTAAGTTGGATTAAAATATGCCAGAGCCATGGTGACAGTAATATCAAATGTGAAGTTCTTTATCTCTAGACTCTCCAAACAACTAATTTAAAAAATGAGAGGATTCTTCTATTCAAGTAGATGGCTTTTTTTGGACATTTGCTGTTCAGTCTCTCAACAGCTTTAAGTATCTCATTCTAAGTCAGAAGGGAATTGAATTGGCTTATTGAAAATATTTTCCTGAATGCTTTATTGTAATGTGGAGATATATATGTAGTATCAACTATTTAACCATTTATATATATATATATATATATATATATATATATATATACACACACACACACACACACACATATTTTGTATCATCTATTTAATCATTTATTATAATTTTAATTTAACATGATTGGTGTGGAAATTTCATGTTTTCCTTAGAACATTTTGAAAACACTGCTTAAGATATAAATGTTGCTATCATCTGAACTAAGGTAAAAATGTGAAATACTGATTCTGTGATTGTACCAATCAAGTTGGGAGACGGGAGCCATGGAAAGAACTTGGAGCCCCTGGCTTTCAGTGTAGGGCACATGGGTTGTGAGAGGGTTATCACCTTGGAAGCCCTGGTAGGTACCATATTGGACTACTGAGGCCACTTGAGCCTAAAGATTTTGGACCTTGGGTAACTTTAACATCATGATTCTGCTTAAAGCTTTCCTAATAGATTACATTTTGATACTTGAAATTTCAGAGCAATAAACTAGAGGAGAAAAAGAGACTTCAAGAAAACCTCAGAAGAGAAGCTTTTAGAGAACATCAGCAATGGTAAGTTTATATTTTCAGAACTTTGTACCTTTTATAGACATATTATTCATTGTGCTTTTAAATTCTAGGTGATAGTAACTATTCAAAACATCTGGTGTTGGATTGTTGACTATTAATTATGTAATTGAACTCTAGAAGTGAGGTTCTAAGTTTGGAGATATCTATACTCATCAAAGTATTCTTTAATAGTCAACAGATTAGAAAGAATACTGCCAAATTTGAGAAATTCCGCATTCTACATAACTTGGAGGGCTTGCTTTTTGGTGATCCAGGTTACTTTTGATTATGAAGACTTCCAAAACACCAATATAAGGAAGATGTTGTTTGAAAGAAGTACCCAAGCAGAATCTAAACTAACTAGGGATTTACCTAATGGACTGAGGACTTATATTTTTGTAAACAAGAATTGAGACATAATTTCACAATTATCAGCAAAGCTCCCAACTGGTGGTCATACATCAAGGTACTTTTTCCAGTATGACTTGTGAATTACAGCAGCTAACATGTGCTTTATAATGTAGATAATCTACTCTCTTATACAAGCTTTAAAGATAAGTTTGTGTTCCAGCTCTAAGTAGCTAGGTTACTTGCACACTGCTTAAAAGAATAGACAAAACCAAAGAACCATATTTCTGTCCCTAGGTTAATTCCAAATATGGTAGAATTAAAACCAAGCAGATTTGGGTTCAAAATCCTAGCTCCATTCTCCAGCTGTGACCTTGGACAAACTACTAAACCTCTTTATATCTTAGTTTTTCTAAAAAAAATTAGGGTTGGTAATATCTCTCCCATCGGCCATTTGTAAGGATTAAATAAAGTATCTTATATAGGGCTTCCCTGGTGGTGCAGTGGTTAAGAATCCGCCTGCCAATGCAGGGAACATGGGTTTGAGCCCTGGTCTGGGAAGATACCACATGCCGTGGAGCAACTAAGCCTGTGCGCCACAACTACTGAGCCTGTGCTCTAGAGCCCGTGAGCCACGATTACTGAGCCCACATGCTGCAACTACTGAAGCCTGCGGCCCTAGAGCCCATGCTCTGCAATAAGAGAAGCCACCACCATGAGAAGCCCATGCACTGCAACGAAGATCCAACGCAGCCAAAAATAAATATAAATAAAATAAATAAATTTATTTTAAAAATCTTATAAAGGGTTTCCCTGGTGGCGCAGTGGTTGGGAGTCCGCCTGCCGATGCAGGGGACACGGGTTTGTGCCCTGGTCCGGGAGGGTCCCGCATGCCGCGGAGCGGCTGGGCCCGTGAGCCATGGCCGCTGGGCCTGCGCGTCTGGAGCCTGTGCTCCGCAATGGGAGAGGCCACAGCGGTGAGAGGCCCCCAGAACGCAAAAAAAAAAAAAAAAAAAAATCTTATAAAAAATTTATTAAAAAGAAGGTATATAAGTGACTGAATTTCATGGGGACTTGATATGTAACTTCTTACAGAGGTTCTTGTTGAATGGGATCAGACAGCTTATTTTCTAGAGACTGTTTAGAGATTTCTGGTTCCACCAGAGCTAGTCATTGGTCTCCCACTTTCTGATGGACTGTACTGACTGCCTCCTCTTACCTATTCCTGTCGTTATATCTCATTTGTAGAATTTAAGATCATTCTGACGTTGGGGTGAGCATATGTGACACCCTAAAGTGTGTCCCTCCTCCAAGTACAGCATCCTCTGATTTTCTCATTCTGCTGAGATTCTCCTGCCTCTACTGTAAGCAACAGCTCCTTGCTTTAAGACTCAGAAGTTGGAATGTAAAACAAGTTTCTCAGCACTTCACTTTGCCCATTAGCAAGTTGGGTACCTGGCCTCCGCTACCCAGACCAGGAAAAGAGTGGGAGGTAGAATGGGGTTGGGTGGAAGTGCTAATGAATGACGTTATCTTTCCCTACTTTTGTTCTAAGGCAGACATGGGGGTAAGGAAGCTGGTGGGAAGCTAAACACCAGGAGAAGTTGGCTGTCTTAGAGAGAGATACAGGGCGGCAGGCAATAGATTAAGGGTTAAGGTATTATTGCCTCCCCCTTCTTTGGTAGAGAATGGATGAGAGTTGATTTCTCGGCCAATCAGAGGAGTTGAATGCCCCCAGATGCCATGGGGGCATTTGTAGCCTGGAGACACAATAAGAACAAATGTATTTATCTTGTGGCATCCTTGTTTACACTGGAAAAGGGAAGACCTGCTTACCAATGAGGGGTCTTAGGTACAGGACTGGGAAGTGGAACAAGTCCATCCTCTGGGGAGTTTTAAACATGATAAAGTGAAGGATGAGAGATTCTTGGAGTTTTAAAGGATGTGGGAGATTGTGTCATCAAACCTTTTTTTTTTCTAGTCCTCCAGCTTCTTGAGTTTGTGTTTTACTGAATACTAGAGATCATCCTTTTTCTGTAAAGAAAGAAGAGTTCTACCCTCAGGCACCTCACACACTATCAGTGGAGCTGAATTCAATTACACGCACATTTCACTCTTGATCTTTCTTCTGCTTATCATAAAAGTCCCAGTTAACCAAGGAAAAGAGAACTTGGCTAAAAATGAGAAGTGTCTCAAATTGATTGTTAAAGCCTATTGAGAAACACAAGAAGAGTATATGTGTGTGTTTTTTAAATGTATTTTGTTTTGAAGTACTTTTGAAATTAAAAGACCACTAGCTAATGAAATGAATGACCATTACATAGCTAGAAATATGAAAGAAACTTCTTTTATAAGATGGATCCTCTGTATAACAAGCCTTTATCATATTTTCTTAGAATCAACTTATGGTGGAAGAACTGTATAGGAGAGCTATTAGAATTCTTTTAAACATCTTTATTGGAGTCTAATTGCTTTACAATGGTGTGTTAGTTTCTGCTGTACAACATTTAATTTTTATTTATTTATTTATTTTTGGCTGCGTTGGGTCTCTGTTGCTGTGTGTGGGCTTTCTCTAGTTGCAGCAAGCAGGAGCTACTCTTCATTGCGGTGCGTGGGCTTCTCACTGTGGGGGCTTCTCTTGTTGTGGAGCACGGGCTCTAGGCTCGCAGGCTCAGTAGTTGTGGCTCATGGGCTCTAGAGTGCAGACTCAGTAGTTGTGGCTCATGGGCTTAGTTGCTCCGCGGCATGTGGGATCTTCCTGGACCAGGGCTCAAACCCGTGTCCCCTGCATTGGCAGGCAGATTCTTAACCACTGTGCCACGAGGGAAGTCCGAGAGCTCTTAGAATTTTAACAGCACAGAGTTTTCACTAGACCAACCAGGCTGTTCCCTATTCCATCCCCTTCACCAAAAGATTAGATTCTCCTGAAGCTGTCAAACTAAGGATCACAGAATAGAAACACAAATAAGGAATTCTTTCAATGCTGTGATACGTGTGTTTCACATAGCAGACTAGGAGTGGTGTTCTTTGTTTTGTTTTGTTTTCTGTAGAGAAGGGCAACCATGGACTTGAGCAGAGTGTAAATCCAAGTTGGCTGGAGAAAAAGCTCATGATATCATCCTGGGGCACCACCATGAGAATCTTAATGTATTCTTTCTTACCACCTTGTTCCTGACTTCGTTCATTTGCTTCTGATTATTTTTAGTGTTGTCAATTATTTAGCTAACAGGCAGAAAACTAGGCTTTTATTGACATCCAGAGGGACTCTCCTGAGTGTAATAGTGAAAGCAGTTTATTGAATGCCTGTGGGGTTGCTTTCTAATTGTACGCATTAATCTGCCCAAGCAAGCTGGCTGAAAATACACAAGCAGATTGCATGTGCAGATGGAGCACACGGGATGGTTTTTATGAAAAGACCTCTGGAATGTACTTCTGCAGTACTGTCTTTTCCTTAAAAATCAAATGACTGTGACTATTTCAATTGGCGGCTGAGAACAGACCAGATTAATGGTGCATTAAGTCTGCTACTCTGGCTGGGGACAGACTCGAATTTCACAGTGTAGAGTTAGTTCTAGGATTCTTTTCTTTCTTTCTTTTTGCGCTACGCGGGCCTCCCACTGCCATGGCCTCTCCCGTTGTGGAGCACAGGCTCCGAGGCCATGGCTCACGGGCCCAGCCGCTCCGCGGCATGCGGGATCTTCCCGGACCGGGGCACGAACCCGTGTCCCCTGCATCGGCAGGCGGACTCTCAACCACTGTGCCACCAGGGAAGCCCAGTTCTAGGATTCTTGAGCATGAAGGTGAAGGGTAGAAATAGGCTTCTAACATTGCATAGTTTTCACCATTATTTTACTCTGTCATTCTTTACTACTTTTAAAAAGACAAATGTGATTTTTCAGGATGGCCTTTTTAATTAGTCAATGTTAGTGGTAGATTTGAGGATTTGAAGTAACAGTTAATAAACCTTTGTGTGTGTGTGTGTGTGTGTGTGTGTGTGTGTGTTTTGTTATAATCAAAGAAAGGATGTTGTGATTTAGGTTATTTAAATTTCAGCATTTGAAATTTAAATGGTAATTTATTTTGAGTCAGTCATCCTTTTCACCATGTAGTTTTTGGATGGATGTCGAGACAGATTTGAATTTTGAGCCCATGTAATGAGTTATGGGGGTTAGGGTAAGATGTGAATGGGGCAATCAGATGCATTTTGGGTGCAGGTGTTAGGAAAAACAATGTTCTCTTAAGGATTTGCTGGAGAGGTGAGAATTGGGTATATTTTAAGCATTTACAATTTTAACTCATATCTAATAATCATTTAATCTAATAGATTGTACATTTGTATAGTTTTAAAAATATACAAAGTGCTTCGCTCTTTTAAATGTTATTTCAAAGTAATAAGCTGCTGTATTATTGGGAACCTATGGAGTGTCAGCCGTGTTAGGCATAGTATATACATTTTTTCATTTAATGTTTAGATCAACCCTATTAGGGATATATCATCTTCATTTTACAGGTGGAGGGTTGAGTAATTCAAAGTCACATAGTGACTTTGTGAGCAATGCAGCCAAATCTTGGTCTTGAGATTTGGAGGACCAGGGATAATGAGTAATTCACAGGTGTGCTGTACTCACAAGGTCAGGATTATTAGGCTAGGGTGG